TATCTTTGTCACTATAGAGAAATCTAGTTGATTTTTCTTTGTTGATCTCATATCCTGCCACTTTGCTTAATCGGTCAACTATGTCCAGTAGTTTTCTTGTTGAGTTTTTGTTTTCTAAGTATACTATCATATCCTGCATAGAGAGTTAATTTTACCTCCTCTTTGCCAGTTTGGATACCTTTCTTTTATTTCTTTCTCTTGTCTTATTGCTGTTGCTAAGACATCCAATACAACATTGAATAGGAGAGATGATAGTGGGCATTGTGCCTAGTTCCTGCTCTCAAAGGGAATGCCTTTAATCTTTTCATTGAGAATGATGTTGACTCTTGGTTTTGTGTACATACTTTTCACTATGTTGAGGAAACTTCCCTCTATTCCAATTTTAAGTGTTTTAATCAGAAAAGGGTGTTGGATTTTGTCAAAGGCCTTTTCTCCATCAATTAATAGAATTATATAGTTCTTGTTCTTTGTTTTGTTAATGTGATGAATTACACAGATTGTTTTTGTGTCTTCCCTTTCTTTAGCACTTAGTACTTTGATTTCCCTAAATGTTTTTAGGCCTCTGACAATATTTTTTATAAAAGCTTCAGTGGTTTGGGCAGGGAGACAAGTGCAACAATGAATGAATGTAAACCCTAAATCTCTGTAAGCTTTCAATAAAATTAATAAAAAAGAAATTAAAAAAATTCATTGTGATTTGGATCAAAGTTTGCAAAGCACACTGATTTTCATCTGACAGTCTCTCTTATCCACTGTATAGTTTCTTACCTGACAATAATTTTGTAACAACTGCAACAGCGAAAAACAAACTTAGTCATTTTTTTTAGTATGTGTATGGTGTTTTCAGATGCTAACCCAAAAATTGTTTTCAACTCCACCAGAGGCTCCATAAGCGAGAGATGGGCAGGGTTCTCCCTTAAAGAATTACCACCTCAAAAATGGAGGGTTGTTTGAGTAGTTTTTGATGAGTTGATTAAAGTTTTATATTATTGATAGAAATAAGTTAGAAAAGTTTCTTTTAGCTTGCAACCACTTATTTATAATATCACAAACATTCTTGAACTGTTTTCAAATTTAGAAACAATTACTGTAAGAGAATTCTTTAAATTGATGACACTGTAGTTTGTGGTAGACATTCTTATTAAATTATGACAGAGAAGAACTTATTTTTTGCTAAGCATTGATAAGCAATGTTTTGAAATTGTGTACATTCAACAATTTGAATAATTTTCTACAGATCAACTCCAAGCTTCCTATTTTTCAAAGACTGCATATCCTTAATTATCCATATATTTCTGATCCCAGAATTCTGGTCACATTAAAACAGTTATAAGACATCTGCCTCTGTGCCTGTGTTTTACAATGTTGGGTGGGTTCACACATGTGTGGTAGGAGTGTTCTTGGAAGCCATTTTGCCTTAGCTGGCAAGATCTTAGCTATACAAAATATATCCTACTAAACTCAAACCAAATGCAATCAACCCTATTTTAACTCACCCTTAGCTAGATTTAAAAATGCCTGCTAGCCACTCTAGCACAAGCAGAACATTGATGGAAGTGAAACCTGTGAAGAAAAAAATCAACAGGGGAAGGACTGCTGCTAAAACACCTTTTACAAATTTTAAAGAAGCATGTTGACTGTGACTCAGCATCTAACAACAACAAGGAGGAGGAGGAGGAGGTAGTTTTTTGAAGAGATTAGTGCAGATAAGGGGCCCTGAAGCCAAAACTTCACAGTAAATGAACTACAGGATCTGGAGTCATTCTAATCACAGTAGAAATCTGTCAATTTTCATTTTCTATCAGCGAAATCTTTGCCTCTTGTGGTAAAGCGTTCCTAGATGTTTGTTTAGCTTAATGGTTCTCAAACTCTTTGGTATCAAGGCCCTTTCACACTCATAAAAATTACTGAGGATTCCAAAAATAGCTTCCCTTTATATGTTTAGGAAGTAAAACAGAAGATTTAAAATACATGTTCATAATTTCATTTATTCCACTTCCATAATAGCTTGCCTCCGGAAACCCTATGAATGTAGAGAGAGGATGAAAGGCACCCAAGCGTCGAGGACTCTCCTTCATAGGGTCGCTATGAGTCGCCTGCGACTCGACGGCACTTAACAACAACAATTTCATTTATAAATAACAATGATAAATTTATTACACATTAACATAAAAAAGTGTTAATGGGTAATGATTATTTTTCAAAGCAAAAAAGATTTTAGTGACAGGGGTAACATTATTATACATTTCTTGCAAATCTTTTTAAAACTTTCGGATGTTTGTTTCTTCATTTTAGTCTCTAGAAAGCACAAGAGCTGTCATGAAATTGTTGTTGTTGTTGATTGCTGTCGAGCTGAGCACGAGTCATAATAACTCTATGAACGGAAGGCCTGAAGCCTTTCTATTAACTATCATCATTTATCAAAGTTTATAGAGTTTTCACAGGCAGGTTGTTTAGGAAGTGATGCCAATCTTGCTTCCAAATCATGAAATTAGGACAAGGAAAAAGACAAATAATATTTTTGTTGTTGTTATGTGCCATCGAGTCGCTTGCTACTCATGTTGTTGTTGTTGTTGTTATGTGCCGTCGAGTCGCCTGCGACTCATAGCGACCCTATGTACAACAGCCCTAAACTCCGCTCTGTCCTGTGCCAATCGCACTGTCTCTGACACTCCCATCCCAATTATCCCAGTCACTGAATCAATCCACCTCACAGAGGGCCTTCCTCTCCTGCGCCGTCCCTCCACCCTCCCAAGCATGATGTCCCTCTCTAAAGACCTGTCTCTCCTCACAACATGTCCAAAGTAAGTTAGACGGAGCCTCAGAATCCTTGCCTCCAAGGAGCCACCCGGTTTAACCCTCTCCAGGACAAATCTGTTTGTTTTCCTAGCAGTCCATGGTATTCTCAATACTCTTCTCCAGCACCACAGCTCAAAGGCATCAATTCTCCTTCTATCCTCCTTGGTCATTGTCCAACTCTCTGATGCATAACGAGTGATTGCAAAAACCATGGCCTGTATCAGACGCACCTTGGTCTCCAGAGAGACACTATTGCTCTTCAGTACTTTGGAAAGGTCCCTAACAGCAGACTTTCCCATCGAAATATGTCTTTTAATTTCCTGGCTACTGATGCCGAGAGTGTTGACTGTGGAGCCAAGGAAACTAAAGCTGTGAACAATCTCAATCTCTTCACCATCCATCCTGATGCTGCCAATTGGCCCAGTGGTGAGAATCTTTGTCTTTTTGACAAATAGAATTAATATTTTAGGGAAAGAATAATTTTGACCTTGTAGATCTCTTAATCACTCTTGGAGAAACACTGGTTTAGATATTGTCTACATTTTCTGGTGGCTTACTGTTGTTGCTAGCTGCTGACTCATAGTAACCCTATGCACAAAACCTTGTCCAATTTTTGCCATTCTCACAATCTCTGCTTTGCTATAGCTCATTGTGTCAATACATCTTGATGATTTTCCTCTCATTCCCTGATCCTAGCCTTTTCCAAGCACGATACTTTTCCAGGGACTGGCCTTTCCTGATGACAATGGAGAAGTCTCTTTCTCAAAGCATCTCCTTCTATTTATTTTCCAATCTATACAATTAAGGCCATTTTTTCCAGCTAAAAACAAATGTTAACTAACTGCTACTCAGAAAACCAGCATACTTTTAAATGAATAACAACTCTCAGGGAAGTCATTCTTTCAACAGCAGGAGAAAAGTTATCTCCTTCATTGTCTGCTCTCTGATACTGAAGGTTTTTTGTAGGAATGCAAAGTCAAATATCAGAACTAGACCAGCACAATGTTAGATGCTATTTAATCTAACAAGAGCACAATGGTCTTATTTACTGAGGTCTTTGTGCTGAAACCTACTGCCCACCAGGCTTACTCGTAGTGGACAGCCATAGGTTTCTAAGGCTTTAAATTTTCAAGGGAATGGACTGCCCATCTTTTTCTATTTGAGGGGTTGGCGGTTCTTTGGGCTAGCGTATGGTAAATAAATCTTTTATATATGTGTGTGTATATATAATGTAATTTATCACAATATCCCTATGTTGTTGTTAGCCCTGATGAATCACGCACAGCAGGGTCTAATGGTGGTAATGCAAAGTTTCCAAGAACTAATTTTCAGATATCCAGGCCTCTCTCCTATAACCCACCTCCTCCCACTGCCATTGAGTTAATTCCATTGAGTTAACCCTATGGGGTCAGAGTACCCGATGGGGCTGAGTAGAAGTGTCTGATAAAAGAGTATCCAAGGCTATCAAGCTTTGGGGAAACCAAATATCTCATCTTTTTTCCACTGAATGACCTCGTTCAGTGAAACCTTCTGGTTGAGCACTTCAAACACTATGTCATCAATGGCTCCTTGTATCTTCTTATACATTAGGTACAATTTTTATGTCCATTTTATAGATGAAACAGATACAGAGAAGTTTTTTTCAGTTTGTATCTTCTTATATATTAGGTACAATTTTTATGTCCTTTTTATAGATGAGGAAACAGATACAGAGAAGTTTTTTTCAGTTCACTGTTACCCGGGACTAAGCTGGGCTTTGATGCCCAAGCCTGAAGTCTATAAACTATTAAATGTGGTTCACATAGAACTCCGAAGAGATGAGAGAGGTTTGCGGTATCAAGACTACTATTTTCCGATTCCAGGTCTCTTTGTCTCCTTTCCTTTTTATTTTCTCGCATGTTTCTTGTCTCATTTCTCATCATTTCAGGATACTCGTTTCTGGTAGCTCCTTCTCTCAGGCCTGACACTGACTCTGAAATAAAGGGGGTAATAATCTGAGTTCTGAGGTCACCAAGGTAACAGCCGCGTGGCGGCAACGCGCGCAGGCGCGCTCCGTGCCGGGGCCTGCCCGCCGCTCCCACCCACGCCGGCTCGGGTCCCTCCTCTGGTGCTGGACTCCGCGGGCGGGTGGACGGGTGTGGGCCTCGGGTGGGAGGTGGAAGCTGAGGGGAGGCCGGGGCTGGGCGCCTGCGCAGTCGCACGGGCGCGGGTGTGATCGCGCTCACGTAGTGAAGGCTGCGGTCGCCTCCTCCTCGCCGCTGCCATAGCGGCCCAGAGGTTATAAAAGGGCTAACTGGCTCCCTCTGCTGCCCAGTTGCGCCGCCAGCGGGCTCAGGGAAAGGACTGGGTAGCCGGCCCGATCGCAGGCAACCGGAGACTGCACAGCGCGCTGGCCTCCCGTTCTACTTCGCAGGTGAGACGGCCCTCGACACTGGGGACCGAGGCCCGCGGCAGCCATGGCCTCTGGGGACGTCTGTGCAAGCCAGTCCCAGCCGCCTCTGATGCGCAGGTTTGGGGCGGGTGTTCTCCAGCTTATACAGCAAGCGCTGTACTTTCTTCGAGGACCTGGCCTCTCACTCTGCAAGCCCCGACTACTGGCACCCCCCGGAGGCCCGGACGCCCTTCTCCGGGGCTGCTTCCTACCGCCGCCTCCATCCTCGTTCCCGACCGTTGGGGCTGCGGCTGCCGCCGTCCCCGCCTCAGGGACCAGTATTCTTGAATATTCCTTGCCGGGAGGGAATCACCCCGTTGTTTTTTCCGAGTCCCGCTCGTACCTGGTTCTCCAGCCAGAATTGAGTGGGACGCGAGGGCGGGGCGTGGGCTTCGGGCTTCCTGGCCGCAGATGGTGGGCATGTGGCGGGAGAGCGGACTTGAACGTTAGGACTCCGGGCATTTGGGGTCCAATGCAGAAGCCATAGGGGCTGGGGCGCCCGGAGAAATTGAAGCTGAGCTCCTCCTTTGCGCCCTGCAACCTCGGCGGCCAGGCGTCGCCCGGGGCGGCGAGTTCGGGGCTGTGCAGAGGAAGTCCGCTGTCAGGTCACCGGGTCGTCGCCAAAGCCTGCTGCTTCCCCCCTCATCTTCCCCATACTTTTGAAAGTAAACGGCGCTTTCTCTTTCTTTAAACGGGATGATTCACAGTTTTCAGAAGTGCCCCAAAGTAAAGCAAATTCCATGGATGTTTAAAAACTTAAGAGCTGAATTGCTTGCCTGACCCCCAGATGGATGGACATTTTAAAGGGGAGGGAGGAAGAATGGTGGGGGAAACGTGAGACAGGTTTGCCTAAATAACCTAATCTAACTGTAACCTCTCTGAATACTAACGTTTTATAATTTTACACTCTTCCCTTTGAAAAAAGAATGAAGACGAAGCGAACTCTCTCCTTTGGGTGAAAAGTCCAAGCGGGGAAACTTGCCAATTTCCATTTAACTGTTTCTAGTTCTCCAGGAGCGGTGGCTCTTGGACTTTCCTTTTGGAATGCACTGGAAGGAATGAAGTAGCCTCTACGTGCGTGGGGGAGGGGAAAAGACGTGGCAGCAGAGTTCTTTCATCAATTTTTTTGCTCATTTTTTGAGGCTCTGGAATTCAGAAATGCATTTCCTCTTTAAGATTTACATGGAGCTTGTGAATGAAGTTCCCCCCCCATTAATTAGATCATAAATTCATTGGAAGCAAATTAAAAATAATATTTTGAAGAATTTTTTTTTCGGATCAAGTTTCTAGGGGAGAAAACGGATACTTTAAGCAGTAAATATTTGAGACCCTGAGAAGGAATAACTCTGAATATGATTTACCTTCATTTGAAATTTTAATAGACCGTTGGTGATTTTTATAGCTCTTTGGTCTATAAATGTAGTTTCAAAATATATAAGATTCAAATTTTACAACTTATTTCTGCAAGAATATATCCATCTATCAGTTACCTTTAAGCCATGTCACTTCTAGTTTGGAACACAAAACCTTGTGTCTTGAAAAGGTTTTCAGTAACTGATGGGAAATCTGTAATGTAGAATAACAAGGAAAAAGATGGCTTTGTCTCTTTTAGCTGTATAATGTTGCTTCTGTTGACTTACTAAATTTTATTTTGAGGTACTGAAAGCCAGGGCTTTGGTAAGAGGGTAATTACATTGACCATTTGTGTTTAGGTAGCTGAAGTAGTAAAATAGATTTAAAAAGTTCAACTTTTAAATTACGGCAGAAAAGTTTTAGTGCCTAAAAAAGAAAGCTTTGGATTACATAGTAGTTTAAGTTTTTGCAGGTAAACTTTGTCTTTTTTGGTAAGATGTTAACATTTTCTGTTATTGGAGAGTGAGTTGTATGCTGAAAAGCAATTAGTTCCCAGTTCCTGATTCTCTTCCAAAGGTGCAGCAAGAATTGTGATGGCTATAAGGCAGTGACTCTTAATATCTTAGGAATTGATTATCAACGGAAATACAATTATTGCCTTAAGATTGGAAAATATATGCTATAAGATATAAAGCATTGGTTCACACACTATTTTGGGGTTATGAAGTGCTCTGAGAATTGGATGAAAAATGTGACCCCTGGGTCACATAATGCAGATGTGCAAATCCACGTGGAATTTTCTTTCTCATTACAGAAATGTCTCTTCTCAAGCCTTTGAATTGTTATAAAACCAAAATAACAAACTCTTATCATAAAGGACCTAAAAAAGTAAAAAAGAAAACAGGCTAATCTTTAAGGGTATCTAGACATTTTTAAGGCTCTCCGGCATCTGTGGGGTGGTACACAACAACAGGCATTTATTTATCTAGTGTTCCAGGAAATTCAGCTGGATATGTGAGTCATATTGTTTCGAGAAAGTTGGTTTTGAGTACCATCAAGCCAGAGTCAACCCATAGTTGACCCTCCACTGGTTTTCAGTGGCATAAAAGTCACACAGGAAGAGATAGCCCATCTTTCTCCTGGACAGCAACCGGATTTAAACCACGAGTCTTTGGATTGGTGGCGCAGCTCCTTACACAGCTCCCTGCCTTGAGTATAGATCCTAATAAACTTTTGCCAGAAGAATTATAACAAAAGCTAATTAACAGGAACGTTGATGGCCCAGTGGCATGGTTGAGTTGCACTGCCAGTTGAAAAGGCAGGCAGTTCAAATTCACCAGCTGCTATGAAAGATGAGCAGTCTTCGCTTGTGTGATTTCTAGTTTCTGAAAACCCACTGGAGGTCAGCTGGGAGTCAGTGTTATTTGATGGCATGTAACAACAAAGTAGTTGAAGAATTGCTGAATTGTCAAATTGTCCAGATAATAAAAATGTATCATACATTTCCTCACTCACCTTCTCCACATATATTAGATGATTTATCTTTGGTTTTTCACTTTGAAATTGGAACAGACTTTAAATAAATATTGTATAGGTCCTTACAGTTATCCAGAAATGACTGGAACAGCATATCAACAGAGAACTGGCAGATGTGCAGGCTGGGTTTAGAAGAGGTCATGGTATTAGGGATATTATAGCTAATGTTAGGTGGATCTTGATTGAAAGAGAGTACTAGAGGAATGTCTGTTTCATTGATTCTGTAAAGGCATTTGATACTGTGGACCACAACAAACTGTGGCTAACTCTAAGAGGAATGGGAATCCCAGAACACTTGATTGTACTTATATGAAACTTGTGCTTGGATCAGGAGGCAGTTACCAGAACAGAGTAAGGAAACACTGCATGGTTCAAGATTGGGAAGGGTGTACGCCAGATGTGTCCTATCTCCATACCTTTTCAATCTATATGTGGATCAGATCATCCGGGAGGCTGGGCTCTGTGAGGAATAGTGTGGCATCAGGATTGGAGGAAGAGTTACCAGCAGCCTGCATTATGCAGATGACACAACCCTGCTTGCTGAAACTGAGGAGAACTTGAAGATCTTGCTGCAGAAGGTAAAGGACTGCAGCCTTCAATATGGATTGAATCTCAACATTAAGAAAACAAAAATTCTTACTACTGAGCCATTTGGCAGCATCGTGATAGACAGTAAAGAAATTGACTTTGTTAACAGTTTTAATTTGCTGGCCTGCACAATCAGCACTCTTGATATCAGCAGCCAGGAAATCAAAAGATGAATTGCAATGGGATAATCTGCTGTCAAGGGAACTCTCCAAAGTACTGAAGAGCAACAATGTCAGTGTGGAGACCAAGGTGCACCTGATATAGGCCATAGTCTTTGCAGTTGCTTGCTATGCATCAGAAGGCTGGACAATGACTAGGGAATGATAGAGAATCGATGCCTTTGAGCTGTGGTGTTGGAGAATATCATGGACTGCCAGGAGAACAAACAGATTCATCCTGAAGAGGATAAACCATGCTGTTCCTTGGAGACCAGCCCTCCATCTAATAACTTATGTATGAAGCTTCCTTGGCTTCTGTGATTCCAAACACATCAGCTGCTGGTAGTTCCTTACGTTGGGATAAATGTCTCTGAAGTTTAGTCATAATGTTTCCCGAGCAAAGGTGATGCATCCTATAGAACTGGTGTGTAGATAGGCTTTTCTTGGCAGCAAGGGTTCTAAAGCTTCATCTGACATACTTTGGACATGTTGCAAGAAGGGACCAGTCCTTGGAGAGGAACATCATGCTTGGAAGGATCGAGGGACAGTGCAAGATAGGAAAGACCCTCCATGAGATGGATTGATTCATTGACTGGGGTAATGAATGTAGGTGTGTCAGAGACAATAAGATTGGCAGAGGGTAGAGCAGGTTTCAGGGCTGTTGTACATAGGGTCACTATGAGTCGCAGGCAACTTAATGTCACATAATGACAACAACAATACCTAAACTAAACTTTAACTATTTTTATTTTGGAGAAAGAACATATCAATAAAGCTCTTACTTGTTAACTAGAGATTAATGTACATTTTATGTCATTTTATATGAAGTCCCTCAATTATGCAAATATTCAGTAAACTAGATTAATTGGAAATTAGAGCCTGCCCAGAGGTACAGCCAGAGAAAAACATGGTGATCCACTGAAACGTTAGTCGTTGAGCATTGTCTGGGACATGTTCTACAGTCTGACACATGTGGTTGGTTTCTCGTTAAGTCACACCAATTGGTACTAGTTTTATATAATTCAGTCACATGTACTTTATAGTTTTGTGTTGTTTGAGTGTAAAAAGTCACACAAAACTATTTTGAAACTCCTTAAAATATGTAATAGCTGGAAGGCTCAATATTGTTAAAATGAAAGTTTCTCTAATTTGATTTATAGATATAGTCACAATAAAAATCTCGGCAGGCTTTTTTTTAAAAAAAAAATGACAAGAGAGTCCTTAAATCCATATGGAAATTTAGGATACCTAGGAAAAAGACAAAACAATGTTGAGAACAGAGTTGGAGGGGTTGACAATATCTGATTTTAAGACTTACAAAGCTATAGTAACAGAAATAGTGTGTTT